TGGCAATAACCCAGACAAGAGGTGACCACTCTTGCAAAATTAAAACAAACACTGCAGTCAGAAATGTCCCGTTCAACTGCAGTCACAAGCAGCTTTATTAACTATGCAAAAAATATCAGATAATTAAAAATATATATATGGTGGTCCGACTAAAAAATTCAGCTTATCAGTTAATCGGCTATAGTAAGTAATCTACCCAGTAGTACATTTACTACCCCGTTCACTGAGCAAGACAAAGGCCTACTCCACACCTGGTGCACAGCCTTCTAAGCACCTCCCACTAATACGCCCACTATTCTCATTCATCTTGCAGGGATCTGGACATTCCCATACACTACATAACACATAGAAAACTCCACTGACTCTTAAAAATGCCACACAGTGGCATTATGGTATGGGATAAGTCCAGTTTCTCCTCAGCGCTGGGTTACAGGCGTATCTGCTGTTTGGGTTTTCATCATCAATAGCCTACTCATGATGAAAAGGAATGTAAAAGTTCTTATTTGAAACAAAATAGTAAAAAAAAAAGAAAAAAAAAAAGAAAATAGTAACCCACATGTAAAACACACAGCAGTCACGACAGTCAGTGACTGTAGAAGAGTCAACATAAATAACTCAAGTAAAAATAACTCATCTCTTATGACTCATTGTCATGAGTGAAAAGTGAGGTTCATGTGTCATTTCGTGCAACTGAATGGGTTTGTGGTGTAACGGGAAAGTTAAAAAATGAGAAGTTAATGAAAAGCTTTCTCTGGCAAGTAATTAAAGTACATGCTGCATTACGGCCCTGTCCTTTATTAAGATCATTAACTGCTCACACCTGCATGGGTTTAAGTTTTGTCCATTTTGTGGCAGAAAGTTAAAAAATCTTTCTTTTTTTTTAAAATATATATTTTTTTATAATTTACAACATCCAACTTCGATAGCTAGGGATTGGACTGCCAGGGTCTCTCTTCTTGAATGCCACCCAGCACACACTGCACCTGACTCTACGTCACCTTCTGGGTTGTGGGCCTATACGAGGGTAGCCCTTTATCCTGGGCAGGGTAAACTGTCCCCAGATCTGACCAATCAGACTACTGCATTTGGCAACAAGTGCACTCATAGCTCAAAAACGGTACTGAAACTACAAATACCTCAGACACATAGTAAAACATAGCTCCAGCTCAATTAACTGAACTGAGTTTAAAGAAACCCTCAGTCATCCTGAAATATGTATGAAAGCCACCACAGACAGAAGGTGCTTCGATGACATCAAAGAAGTGATGCACAGCCCACCGTATGCATGAATTACTGTACTGTTGCATCTTCATGCAACCTTTGTTCTTGATTCAACTGATGAAAATGATTGCTTTCCCCAGCTCTGCAAACACATGCCTGTAAGTATCCTCCTAATCATTCTGATAGTGGTGGGAGGATTCTACATTTACATCAAGAGGAAGCGCAACAAGGATCTGGGGAATAAATCAGATTTATTTTGGATCTGAAGGTTGAATACTTCCACAATGACCACAATGTTTTCCTTCTTGGTCTGCAGCTAATGATCAGCCCAGTACTGAAATGGTAAGATACCAGGATCATGCCGAGTCAAGCTCACTTATTTCACTAATGTTGGTGCTCTTCTCCTCAGACTCATGTGTACGAGGTCGTTCAGGATGATCGTAATGAGGAACAACAACAGCAACTACATTTAAAAAGAGAAGCAGCCACTGCAACAACCACTTTTTATAATTTATTACAAGCTGTGAACTAGAGTGAAACCACATGCTATTCCAAGAAACAGAAATGCACAGTAAATCAACTCGTCCTTTGCCAGACATGCATGCAAGATGTTTTAAAGTAAATTAAAACATGTATGATTACATTGTAATCAATTTTGAAAAACACATTTTATTTCAAT